AATAAAAAAAAAACAAAGTTCACTAAGCACTAGAAGATCGCCCCAGCATTTTTTAAACCAAAAGGCATGACCTTGTAGTAGTACATGCCTGTTTTAGTGGTAAAGGCGGTCTTCTCTTGGTCCTCTGGATCCATTAGGATTGGGTTGTAGCCTAAGTAGGCATCCATAAAACTAAGTAGCTCAAATCCTGAGGTCACATCCACTAGGCGATCTATGCTTGGTAAGGGGAAGTTGTCCTTTGGGCAAGCTCAATTCAGGTCTGTAAAGTCTATGCACATCCATCATTTGCCATACGCCTTCTTTACTAGAACTAAGTTTGCTACCCAGCTTGGATATTGGACTTCCACTATGAAGTTCGTTGCTAACAGCTTCCCCAGTTCCTCGTTCACTATGTTCCACCTTTCCGGGGCAAGGTTTCTCTTCCTATGTTGGATTGGTCTAACTATAGGGTCCACATTAAGTTTATGAGTTATCAAATTAGGGTCTATACCAGGCATTCCATCTGCCAAACAGGCAAAAACATCTAAGTTATTTAACAAGAAGCTTACCAGTTCAGATCGCAAGGGTTCCTTCAGGCGAGCTCCAATCTGGAGCATTTTCTCAGGCTCAGCTTTGGAGACCTGTACCGTAACTGTTTCCTCAATTGGGCGAGTTCTTTCCTCTGTGTTTTCTGGCAGTGGCTCTAGGTTGATATCAATTGTAATCTTGCCTTTGGCTTTCAACGAAGCTACATAACACTTCTGAGATTCTAGTTGATCTCCTCGTAACACTCCTATACTTGTGTCCGTTGAGAATTTCAGCACTAGATGATACTTTGAGACCGCAGCCCGCAATGCATGTAAGGTTGGCCATCCCAAGATTGCATTATAAGGTGATGAGGTGGCCACTACCAGTGAAGTGCACCGTGTGAGGAGAAGAGCCCGCCTTGATCGGCAGCCTTACCCTGCCAATCGGGCGAACTACCTCACCACTAAATCCCACTAATGGTATATCTACGGGCTGGAGGTCGGCTTTGCAAAGTTCCATCCTCCTGAACACTTCTACGAACAAAATGTCTGCCAAGCTGCCTGAATCTACTAGAATCCTCTTCAATCTAAAGTCATTGACTAGTAGCTTCACCACTAGGGCATCGTCATGGGGGTATTGGACCCCACGCATGTCATCTTCTATGAAATAAATTATTTCCTCCTTCCGAGGACGCTTTCATGGCTGACTATCCTCTTGCTCTAGTTCTCATACTGCACTCTTTCCTGCTGACGTGGTACAACCTATTATTATTGAGCCTCCAGTAATTACATTTATGGTCCCTCGAACCTGTCTATCCTATGACTGCTAGTTTTGGGGAGAATGCTCCTGCTTCAGATTGTCGTTCATCTTTGATAAATCACCTTAGATAACCTCTCTTGATGAGGTCCTCGATTTCGTTTTTCAAGTTCCAGCAATGTTCAGTATCGTGTCCAACATCTTTATGAAAATGGCAATATTTATTTGGGTTCTGGGTAGTAGGATCCCTTCTTATCTTTGGTGGCCATTTGATATAGTCATTGGATTGAATTTACTTCAAGGTTTCTTTCCTCTTAGCATTCAATGGAGTAAACACTCTTGTGTATGCTGGCGGTGTCGCTAAGCGCTAACCTAATCTTCTGACTGGAGACCTGCTCTTGTGACGTGGTGATCTATTGCGCCTCCTTCTTGGCGATCTGCTTCTCTTCGACCACTTTCTCCTTCGCCTAGTCCTACTTGTGCTTGCTTCCTCGTCAGTTCGCTTTCTCTTCCCTATTGTGTCAAACTCCGCTCTTACTGCCTCTTCTGCCTTGATGAAGTTGTGAGCTACATAAAGGAATTCTTACATGGTGGCTGGTGGATGTAGTTAAAGCTCTCATTTCAGTTTGCGATGCTTGATACCTTTCTTTGCTGCTATGAGCTGCACAACGGGATCCAAATCTGGAATCTGAAGTCGCTCCATGTTAAACAGACATGCTGCTGATTTGGAATGTCGCTTACTGGTGACAAATTGGTTAATGAAGAGTCTAGCGAATTTATCCCAGTTTTTGATGGATCTCGGTGCCAATCCAGAATACCAAAGCCACACCTCCTCCTTCAGTGTGGTGGGGAATGCAATGCACATGCTGGCATCACTTGCTCCGTGGAAGAGTATGAGGGCTTGGAAGTTGTTTGCATGCTCCATTGGGTTTGTCTTTCCCTGGTAGGATTCCAAGGTTGGGGCTCGAAAGTTCTTCGGACGTGGCGCTTTGAGAATCTTCGATGCAAGTGGGGTTTCTCGAGTCAGATTGGGCGGTTCCAAAGGGGAAACCATCTTACTGGTTGCTATGCTGTTCTCTCCTGGTTGGGCCTCGCTGCTTGCGCGAGCGAGCTGTATTTTTCTCCTCGCATGATTTGTACACTTCTTGTTCTTCCTTTTGGAGCATTCGGTGGAGCTAAATACATCGATTTCGGCAGGAACCTTAGCTCGGCTCTCTACGAAGCGCTGCTCATTCCGGGCTACTACATCTTCCCTATTCGGGACTTGAATTTGACTGTGCACCCATGGGCGAGGTGGGTCCTCCTGATTCAGGTTATTATTCTGCGAAGGGAGTTGCTGGTTGCTCCTCCAAATATCCGGGTTGTTGTTTGGAATGTGCTGACCTCCGAACAGGACTCATTGGCTATTGTGGGGTTGTTGTTGGCTGTTGCGAAGCTGGCTGTTACGTGGCACTTGTTGACCATCGCGTGGAATTGGCTAATCCGATGCCACGAGGTGCTGCTACTGTTGTTGGAATTGCTGTTGTTGTTGAAATTGTTGTTGTTGTTGTCCGGCAACAAAGACAAACCTATTCTCCCACGACTGGATCTGCTCAGTCATGTTGTGCACATATCGCACCAAGTTGTTGAACTGCTGGACGTTCACTGTTGCGGGAGGTGCCGTGGGATCCACGGTTGGAGGTGGAGGTGGCACGTTCACATTGTTCTGTACATCGGCTGGCGGTAAAGAAACATCAATTCGGCCTATTGTAATAGTTAGTACTTGCCATTGACATTGTTGGCAAAAGAGTTGCCGGAAGATGCCATCGAAGGATTTCTTTGAGAAGAATAAGAGAGACAAAGAGATTAATGAAGGGAACACTCCGATGGCAATTCTGAGCTGGTAACTGTAAGTCCGAGTTGAGAAGGGCTGAGAAAAGGGAAGAATTAGAGTGCCTGGGTAGGTTTTACCCAGGGGAACACTCCGATGCTTAAGTCAGTAAGGAGATTTTAGTAAGAGTATGTGAGAGAGTTCCAGAGCTTTTGTGCGCATACCTTTCAGAGTGATCAAGGGGTCCTTTTATAGCTATTTGAGGTTTAGGTGCCATCATACAACGTCTCTGAGTCCGTTGCGGAGCTGTTTCCGCAGTTTGGGGTGTGTTGGACTGTTAGTTACTAGATTTGCGCGGTGGTTATAGGTTGCCCGCGGGTCTTGTGGTGTACGGTTCGGCGAGCTATTCCTATGGTTACGATAACAACGTTCGTGCAGGCACTGTACAGCGCGCGAGACGGTTTCGAGGCAAGCTGGCATTGTTGGCGGTCTGAGCTCGCCCCAGGTCGGCCGCACACCTACTGTTGATTGCCACGTGCTGGTTTGTCGAGCTGTCTTGTTGAGTTGGGTGTTGTTTGATCCACTTGTCAGTGATGACCAAAATGCCCCTCGTCAATTATTATTTGGTGATTGAAAAGTGAACAACTTTGAACTATTCTCCCCTTTTTAGTGGATGTAGGCTAATAATAGTCGAGAACTCGAACCAGTTAAATTCATCACTTCCTCTCTGCCCAGTTCTGAATCCATGTTGATGTTTTGGAATATTTTTAGCACTGTGCTTTCACATGCCATTGCTATTTCAGCCGTCATCAAGCGCTACCGTGGACTGAACTTGTGCTTGTGACATCTACTCAATCGCCTTTTGCATGTGGAGCGTGGAAGATAAATATATAAGAACGAAGGAAGCACATTTTAATTTCAATTGTCTCTGTATACATCATTTGCAGGATGTTTTATATTTATCTCTCTCTCTGTCTGTCTGTCTTTTGGACCTTTAGGATGGCAATCAGTAAGCAGATAGATGGGAGGTGGAATGGCAAAAGCGGATGTTATTTCTTGTAACAGATTCATTTGGGCCGAGGTGGATCGGCCTGAGGTTGGTGGAGAAGATGTGAGAGGTGAATTCGAGCATGTACAAATCCAAAAGAGGCAGGCCCAAAGCTCAAGCCCATTTTCCCAGACCTATAGTCCAAAGGAGGAAGAGTGCCTTGTCGAGTTGGAAAAGAATTTTCAATTTTGAAAGGTGAAGTGCTGCTGGTGAAAGCCTTGTTTCATACGGCCCTTGCCCATTTCATAAATGGACCAGGTCAAAGGGAAAGGGCCCACTAAACGTGCTGGAAACTGGAAAGTTGATGATTAGGGTAGGGTCGGTGTATAGTATAATCATAAATAGTGATACTCTAAACAAATCATGTCCATGTGGTTGATCTTGTACAGAATGCAGGCTTGCTCAGTCAGAGATACCTATTAAAAAACAAAACAAAACAAAACAAAACAAAAGCTTTGTTGATCTGCCGTTGCTACTTGCTATCCTATTAATGCCCCAAGCTTTCTATTTTGGGCAATGATATTTCCCCAGAGTCAAAGAGTCCCAGACTCAAACTCTTCCTTCTTCCCATTAATTTAATTTTGGCAAATCTCTCTCATCCCTGCACTTCCCAGCAATTAACACCCACCCAACCTCCTGCACTTCCATTCATTTTACGACATGTGTCTCATTACAGGAGATGTTAATGAAAAATATACCAAGTCAAGGTGAGTCAAACCACCAACCAAAATATTTCGCTCCTTCGGTTTACGACGCAACCGTCCTTCCGACCACACCACTGATAGACACGTACTCGGTATTATTGTATAGATACTGGATGACTGACGTCATAATGGCTTACATGTCCACAAGTGAAGTGCTCGGGAGGAGGCAAGCGTACGAGTGAAGATATACTCGAGTCGACTGATCTCCTACCGAAAAACCAAGCAGATAGAGATCCTCTACATTCCTCTTCTCTTTCCGAGGGAGGAAAGAGAAAGCCGACTAGCCGAGAGCACCGAGAGAATAACCAGAGAGAGAGAGAGAGAGAGAGAGAAGCACTTATTAGGATGACAAGGAGGTGATCAAGAAGAAGAGCAAGATGAAATCGGAGACGTTGACGTTTATACTGGTGAACCTGGCGGGGATCATGGAGAGGGCAGACGAGTCCCTGCTGCCTGGGGTGTACAAGGAGGTCGGGGCCGCCCTTCATACGGACCCAACTGGTCTGGGTTCACTTACTCTCTTTCGATCCATCGTCCAGTCTTCCTGTTATCCCCTCGCCGCCTACCTCGCCGTTCGCCACAACCGCGCCCATGTCATAGCCCTCGGTGCCTTCCTCTGGGCCGCTGCCACCTTCCTCGTCGCCATCTCCTCCACTTTCTTTCAGGTTCACCCTCTCATTCTTTCTGAATTTTCAATTCGTCACCAATTTTATTAAATTACTCGTGAATTCCCAATCTTTACATCCAAATCTAGTTGGAGTCCGCTTGAAAGAAGAGCTGATCAATGATCGTCCAACGCTTTTAGCCAGGTTGGGTTTCTTGCTTTTCTCTGTCTTCTGCTTTAGCTAATATGAACAAGTTACTCCGTCGTTCTGGACATGCTCTGATTGCTTTGTCTTGTAAAACTGTTATACATGAAACAATTTGGGTTACTCGATTAATCCTACTACAAAGAAGATAACTTATCGGTCTCAAAACTGATCTCTCACTATTAGAACTAGTCCACCTACATATATCTTATTTCCTTTGATCGCTGTAGTTCCTGTCCTTATTACAACCTTACAAGACAACTTTCCGATTGCCAATTTCGGCTAAGCAGGGTCAACTGTTAATGTAGAAATGCAAAACCTAACAAGTGCATAAATGAGTGCCCTGCTACATTTACAAAGACTAAGGCTGGAGCCATCATCAGATTCATCACTTGTTTATGGACAAACTTTTCGGCAGTCGTGTGCATTCAACAGGCTGTTAAATCAAATGCACAAAATCAGTGAGTTAAGGTGGCTTACCTTCCAATTGGGGTAAACCAACAATCCTAAAATTGTCTATGTGAATGCATGTACTGATTTAAATGATAACTGTCCAGTATAGGACATACACATCAAGTGAAATGCAGCCTTTGAAAAATGAATGAAACATAACATAAGCCCATACCTTCTGAGCATTGTGCTCCACATGGACAATCTATCTTCTGTGGTGAAATGGAGCTGCAAACAGTTTATATAAACCAAATCAAAGAAGCGATGGAAAAAAATGAGATAGAAACCACAGTTCTTCTTTCATGATCATGTCTATTCTAATCTGTTCCATGCCTACTGTTTAGGTGGCTGTCTCAAGAGGTTTAAATGGAATTGGGCTTGCCATAGTTACACCTGCCATTCAGTCTCTTGTTGCTGACTCAACTGATGACACCAACCGCGGTATGGCTTTTGGGTGGCTTCAACTAACTGGGAACCTGGGCTCAATCATTGGTGGCCTCTGTTCAGTTTTGATAGCTTCAACATCATTCATGGGGATCCCTGGTTGGAGAATTTCCTTCCATCTGGTCGCAATAGTTAGTGTTGCTGTAGGAGTTCTGGTCCGACTCTTCGCTAATGATCCACGTTTTTCAGATGAGGGTAGTAAGCCTAGCGATTCTGGTCCAAGTAGGTCCATATGGTCTGAATTGAAGAACCTGGTTCTGGAAGCCAAGTCAGTAATGAAAGTCCCATCGTTTCACATAATTGTAGCTCAGGGTGTTACTGGCTCATTTCCCTGGTCAGCTTTGTCATTTGCACCCATGTGGTTAGAGCTTATTGACTTCTCCCACAAACAAACAGCGTTTCTAATGAGCATGTTTGTAATTGCTAGTTCTCTTGGGGGACTATTTGGAGGGAAGATGGGGGACATCCTAGCTAAGCGTCTCCCGAACTCTGGTAGGATTATTCTATCACAGATTAGCTCAGTCTCAGCTATCCCACTAGCAGCAGTTTTGATGCTTGTTTTGCCCGATGATCCCTCCACTGCTTTTCTGCATGGTTTGGTCTTGTTCATCATGGGTTTATGCATATCCTGGAATGCACCGGCTACAAACAAGTATGTTCTTATTTCCCCTCTTGTTTGTGTGCAGGCTTTACTTTTCATTTTTGCTTTCTTTCGATAACAATAGCTTTGCTAATACAATAAGAAATGATGATTTAACTGGAGAGATTGTCTTGTCAGTAATACTGTAGCTAGTTCACATAACTTGTACATAGATGTTGAAGGTCACCAGGCAATTAGTTCTATGGCTGGGGATCCTAATCATTTTGATCTAACAGGATATTCTGGACATTCAGAAAAAATTACACAATGACTCATCCAGAAAAATGTCAAATAACTGATGGTTAGGATTATCTGGTTGACTCGATCCTTCTTGGACAATAATATATCCTTGACGAGACTGGGATGGTTGTCCAACTCCCTGCTTATCAAAATGTATTTGGTTAGCAATACATCCATGAGCTTTTCTTGTCATACCACACAGTTATGTGGAAAGGACAAAGAAATTTCTGACCTTACATTAAATGGCAAAATGATACACTGCATCTTTATTTATTCATACATATGATGTTTGCAGTCCAATATTTGCAGAGATTGTACCTGAGAAATCACGACCAAGCATCTATGCTCTGGATAGATCTTTTGAATCTGTGTTGTCATCATTTGCTCCCCCAGTAGTTGGGTTACTGGCTCAGCATGTTTATGGTTATAAACCTATTCCTAAAGGATCCAGCAAATCTGTTGAGATTGCAACAGATAGAGAAAATGCTGCATCTCTAGCAAAGGCACTTTACACTGCAATAGCTATTCCAATGACTCTATGTTGCCTTATCTACTCCTTTCTCTATTGCACTTATCCAAGAGACAGGGAGCGAGCACGCATGCATGCATTAATAGAATCAGAGATGCAGCAGATAGAGTCTGAAAATCCTCTTGTAGGAGAGTACACAGAAGTTGAGTTCTCGGAATCAGATGAACAATATGAAAATGAAAGAAGTGTGATTGAAATAGATTATGGAGAGGACGGTATTGAAATTGATGAAAGTGATGAGAAGACCTTGCTTTCCGACCAACTGGCATTGTAATATAGACTTCATAAGGCTTGGTGTAAAATTGAGGTCAAAACATTTTGATGGATTTTATCATTTCCATACAAGTGCTAAAAAATTGAAGCTAATGGTTTTTATGTTTGAGAGTTGAGAGCATATCTGTCCATCTGATTGAAAGAACAATGCAACATTATGGTCTAAATGGGATGAATGTATGGTCTCAGACTGTTCTCCACCTTGTTGATTTAATTTTACTAAGTTGATTTGAATATTGTAGAGTTTCATACTCATTATCCCAACTACCAATTGGTGGTGGTTCAGTTGTCAAGTTCTCTGACTGGCTGTGCAAAGACTTGGGTTCGAATCCCATTGTCACCAGGGTTAGGGGTAGCCTCAGAGAGAGAGAGAGAAGATGATGATGATGATGATGATGATGATAAAGTCTTATCTTAACCATATGGGGCCAGATGCATGAAACCCTTTTCACCATTATGCTCTGTTTAGTGCCAGATCTATTGTCAAATTAGCACTTAAATCATCTATCATGTCCACTTTAGTCTATTCACCCTTCTATCCCATTCAACTTGCAATAGATTGCTGCTTCTTGTTAGACAATTGTATGCCCTTAGCTTCAATCAGAAATACGTACATTATGAATTTATTGTAAATGAATAAAGTAAACATTTGATTCATGTTCTTGTGGTGTGTTTCTGTGTAATACCCTTAAACTGAATACTTAATGAGACTTGTGTTAGTTTAGAATGTTCACAGCCATTGGGTAAGTCTGGGGAGATTTATCCTGCCAAGGCTGACACTAGTGTGCTGCCAA